AATAAAAAAAAAAAAAAAAAAAAAAACCAATGTTTCGCAGACCACGCGTTTTGAATACAATTTTCATAATGATATGCGTCCGTACTCTGAACACGGTCTGTTGCGTGGCTCCACCTGGCTACCCTGGTGAAGCACGTCAGGACGCCACCAGATGACCAGCCGCCTTTGGCTATTATATCCAAATCTAACCTCGCCAGCGAGGATAATAAGCCGGTAGAAAAACAACCCGCGTGAACTGCGACATTGATATTGTCGATATATCCGCCATTCCATCATAAGTATATCTGTAATTATCAATGACAATCATGGCGTAACAATATCCAATCATGAGCACGTGTCCGGATGAGAAATAATCATACATGATTATCAGTGACATAAAGTGATTTTTAATGGTGAATCTCTCGTAGCAGGTAAATGTGAAAAAATCATTTTAAAAATTAATCACGATCATTTATTGTTCAACTGAATATATTTTTTTTACACAAATAATAATAAAATTACAATCATCCAAATTACTGATCCAACCTGCGCGGTATCCAAAAATGATAAAAATTATCATTAAAGAAAAATATCATACAGCAAAGATCATGGTAAATGTAACGGATCCATCAATTCTATGGATATAATACGGGTATATTGCCCAGGAAGAGCCGTGTATAACTGTCACTGGGTATAGGTCAATGATAATTAATAATGATATATCGATAATTTCCCTTATGGTATTGTAACTCTAAAATCATGAGGTTGGATTGGGTTCTTTTTTTTGTTGCTGTGGATATTATTATTTATGAATAACTCCTGGTCTTTGATTTATTTAATCTTGTACTTATATACGGGTTATTTTAGTTATGGGCTTCTACGCGTACTTTTCAAGTACGATGATCCTGATGCTTTTCCAATAGGAGTCATTGTCTGGGTCTACTTTTCTTAGCTATGGGGATCACGCGTAAATCGCACTGGAGATCTGAGTTACGTACGTGAGGGTATGGGCATTTCGAAATATCACGGTGCACCATACCATGCCATGGTTTGGTGTCTATCAATCACTTGGCGCTTGGTCTGGCAATAAGACTCTGAAGGCGGGCTATTATCCTGCCAGACTCTTGTGATGCACGACCTCCAGTCCAGTCCTGGACCTTTAAGCCCTTGCTATGCGGTTCGGATTTTGCTTTTATGATCGATCAGAAAATTTTGATAATTTTGAAATACACACACATATATATATATATACATGCAAGAAAAAAACGTGGGACGTGTATTGCAGCAGGATATATGGAGAACAGACTGCATGGAATAAACTTGAGAAAATTATGTATAAATTAGATGTTGTCGATAATTTTTAAATTTTCAAAAAAAATTGATGTAATCAAGAAATTGTATATAAATTAAGGTGGGTGGAAAAAAGAAAAATTATTTTCGTAAATATTTACTAAAATTCATTTTTTTTTTTACGAATTAACTTAATGGTGTATTCGAAGGAGAAAGTGACGTCACAAAGCAAATTTTGTTTGTGACATTTCATTGAATTCTTGATTGTCTTAATTTCAAATTTCCCGCCGTTTGATGTTAGGGCTTCTTTATAGAGCTTGGGGCTACTTATGACACTGCAAATAGGTATAAGACTGTTTGCAATGTTATTATTGTCATTTATTATAAAGGTACTGTCACACCGAGCTAACAATGTATGATTGTCAAGTGCATTCACGCTTATGGAGGGGCTAATCATTTTGATAACTGGCCAGACCAGTGGCCGTTTATCGTTCGCGTTCGCCATCAGCTCGATTAATAGAATTAACGTAGGTGCGATGAGGTTAACCTCGAACCGATATGTTGCGTGATTCAGGAATTCCGTGCGGTTTATACCTAACCACCCCGAGTATATCTATATATACTCGTGACAATATTCGCTCGTGTGTCCCTATCATATGCGTGTGCGTGACTCTGTATGCGCACGCCATTATGTCGAGTTTTTCCTCCCTTCTATGGGCAGATACGAGTCTAACACGCAACGGCAAAAAACAGCAAACAATATAGCACCTACCTATTGGAACGGGACGATATAAAAATTCTACGAAATTCTATAGCGGCCGTGTTTGATTAGCAATTCGAGAGACATTCCTAATAGAGAGAAGCTGACGTACTAGTAAATTTTGAAATCAAGTTTTTTTGCAAAAAAAAAAAATTGAAAAATTTGACATAAAAGTTTGATTTGTATTTGCGTATTGAAAAAATTTTTGAAAATTTTTGTATGATTTTTCGGGGGTTGCTTTTTGATTTTTTTTCTTTTCAAGGGTATTTTGGTGAATTTTTTTTTTGGTTACTTCTAAAATTGTTACTCGATTTCGGTGGCAACCACAACGACAGGGTTGTCGCGTTTCTCGAAGGGTGTGTGCACCGCGGGAGGGTTGTAATAGCATTCGAAATGACATGCAAATGCAGCGGGCATCCAAGCAAGTCGGGTTTCGAGGGCGTTACCCTGAAATTGTGGTTAGTTGGTTGGTTGAAAGACGGTGGAGGCGGCGCATCTGTCGACGGAAGATTTATATTCCAGCACTGTGGTTCTTCTTGGGTTTACCTGTTACCTGGTTACCTATGCTAAGCAGCCACGAGGAGGTTTCGAGCTGGCAGCCATTGCTGCGATAGCTCGAACAAAAAAAAAGAAAAAAAATTGCGAACAAAATTTCTCCAAAAAAAGTTTAAAAAATAATTTTTTCATTTATATCGAAAGAATTATAAACCGTCACAAAATCTTGTGCAGTCTCAAGAAAATTATTTCAAAATGTAACCAGTATTTATTCGATGGGTATGAATTTGAAAAAAAAAAAATTCAAAATGGAGGATTTCTCAGGATGGCGAGAAACAGAGCACAGGGTGATTATAGTCCTAAGCCTGCATGGGTCTATCAAAACCAGCTCGAACCATACATCAATGCCATCTATACGTATAATTTCGTGTCGACTGCATATAGTTTTATTGCGTAGAGCGAGAAAAAAAAGAAAGAAAAAGAAAAGCAGCCCCAAAAAATCGAAGGGTGAAGTTTTCGGCTATATCGAAGTCCGCGCACGTGTGCCGGTGAGCTCGTTATTCATTTATTCATTATTCTATCGCGTCTTGAAAATGACGCGTGAATACGAACCGCCGATACCCAATGATTGATTAGTCAACAATGACCTATCGTATTACCCATAATTCACGGAAGTATGGTAAAAATTTTTTTTTCATACGCGATCAGCATTATAAACTATCCTCAATTTATTTACCAGCATTTAAAAATCCCTTATAATAACATTACGCGAATTAATCATACTAGTAAAATCATACGGCTGTAAAAAATTAAAAAAAAATTTTTTTTTATCGGTCTATAATAAATTTGGAAATTTGGAAAAAAAAGTGTTTTCCTGCAAATTTTTATTTTTCATATCCCACCATTTTTGCTTCATCGAAATCGATCCTTTCTAACGAAACGGGCTTAAGGACCCCCTTTTTCGTTTTTGTACCGACGACTTTTTTCTCGGCTTACTTTCTCAGGCTGACACTCACGAATTAACAGATCGCTCGCTGGCAATTAAAGGGCCCAAAGTTGAAGTTACTTGCGTTCCCATGGAGAAGGAGTCTTAGAGGTGAAGAATCACGAGCCACCCCAGCGCGTGGGGTACCAGGAGAACGTTGGCGAACAGGGCTGGTAGCGGGGATGACGATGGGAAAGAAAGAGAAGTGGTACCGGGTCGTGAGAGCAGTGGAGTAAAAAAGACGACCGAGGCGAAGTTGCACAGGGCAATATTTACGAGAAGGGTTGGGTTCTTTGGGTTTCAACCACGGGACGCGTAATTGCAACGCTGGGGTAACCTGATTTATTGGGTTATTACCGATCCCGTGCAAGAAGAGTCAGCGCGCGTGGTGTATGGCCTTCCCTTGGTTATCCGTTCGATCCGCTACTTGGCAGCCATTTTCTCATCCGCCTAAGATCCTGCACACAGGAGAAAAAAGGTTGAGATGAAGGAAAAAAAATATATTTTGTGATTACGCTAAAAAAATTTTTTAATATAATTTTGAAAAAAAAAATTTTTATAATATTTTAGTCGCGTAACGATTATGGGCATATTTACGAAATGAAATTTTGTCATACAGATGGATGACTGGTAGCCATTATTATTATTATTCGGACAGCCGGCGGGCGTCGTTATCGAAATAATACCCTGTCCCGGGTTCTGTTCTATTAATCAGAATTACAGTTGGACATTTTGTATTGGGCGAAACAACCGAAAAAATGGCTGCGTTACTTAGGTGTAATACCGAAATGTTTCTGTGGAACGGACTAGAGCTCTTTTTAATCTTTTCGGGCGACTGTGAGATTTTTTGGTGGGATGATAAATGGGTTAAAAAAAAATACGTAAAATTTGGCAGGGAGGTAATCGCTTTTAAAAAATTATTCTTAGCCAATAGATTTACGAGGCTATTCGTCTTCGTGGTATATACGTACTTTGAGGCGCTAAACTAAGGATTCTCGTAGATGCTACAAAGTTACAATGGTTTAGTGGTTATGATTCCAGAGGGAGCAGTTTCATTATATATCCTGTAGCATAATTGTTTTCAAGGAACTGGCACGAAGAAAGACCTTGCCTGGGAATATCTCCTATAACAGTTGGCCATATAAACAGTTTCGAAGATTCTGAACGGTCCGAATAAAATCCCTAGGTAAAAATTACTGAAGATAAAATTTTTCCGGGTATATCTCGTACGACAGTTTACAATACAAATAGTTTCAATGATTATGAACAGTCCGAATAAAATCCCTAGGCAAAAGTTACCAGACACTAACATTTGTCCAGGTAATATATCCCAAAGTATTTCATAAGCAAAAGTGGCTAAAGGTGAAAAATGATCTAGGGAAATTTCCCATAGCACAGACAATTTCAAGTATACCAAACAGTCCGAATAAAATCCCTAGGAATAACTAAGTAAAAATTACTAAAATAATTTTTTTTTTTTTTCTATTTCAGACGGACTAAAAAAGATGCTAAGGATAACAAAATGGCGACCAAACGAAATTGGAACATCCATTAGACATTCGTAACGGCTGGACACTCGACTCGATTGACCTAATCGAATCTGCTCGATCACTACGAAAATAACCTGACCGTATGGAACAACGAGTGAAACGTTCTGAACTTAAAAATTAACTGGTAAACGACCTTTGACCTTTCTCATACGTATCTAACCATGCGTAAAGTTCCCGGCAAAATGTCGGAAATATTCGAAAAATTTTAGGCCACGAACCCGGAATGGAGGCAATCCGGTTGATCTCAGCAACGCCCACCGCAACGCCCGTCTTGTATTGCATCACGATCACACACGATCGACGCCGCTTTTTCTACGATGTATAAGATATAATCAAAATTCTGGAAAAAATATAGTAAAACCTGTTACACGGGTTGGAGATAGGCTGATACTTTGTACGGGGTGGTCGCCGAAGAATCAATACGGATGATCTCATTTAATTGCAATTTCAAAGTCGATCTATTATTATTTACAATTAAATCATCATTTTACACGATCGATAGTAATTCGCATTGCATAACGAGTACTGCTAGCATTAACCATAATAATATGTCTACATATATACAAGAGCGTCCATATTAAATTTTTTCAAATTTATATTCCTTTCCATTTCCGAACACTATATATATATACACAACACTATATACACACCTATTTATCTTATGCGCATAACAATAAAGGCACTGAACATACCTAAGAACGATCTATCCTTCGAGAATCCTTAAGGATCATTTCCAAGCATAATTTCACGACGTTCGCCAACCTGCTGATGAAACCAGACGAAAAATCCTTCAACCAGAAATTTCAACCCCAATACGAATTCCCGCGAGCCGATGGTCACACCGTGAAAAAAAAAAAAAAAATACGTGCGGTAAAACAAAGGCTCGCAAATCGCAAGGGGAAAATATATTACGAGCGGTCCAGACTCCCGGTCCACCATTTTGAAAGATGATGCATCTCGCGAGCTATGCAACTCCTCCGCACCTACACAAAGGTATCGGAGCTACGGAGAAAACTCCGCTGGCTCTTTCAGCCACCCACGTGCGGATCCCATTGGTCCAGAATATCTCATGGGGATTCGACTTACACCCATGCCAGAGGATCACCATGGTAAATATTCATTGCGAAGTCTTGAATTTTCTATTGGATAAGACCGAACGAAGCATATCCAGTATAGAAAAAAAAGATTGTTTTTTTTTTGTAAAAAGTTATCTAGATAATATCGACTATCTAGATAACATTATCTTAAGCTAAAAGACAAAGAATTATTTAAACTAGGAAATTTTTTTTTACGAGTATCCCAATGAACATTGTATCTGATATCTGTAAGATAAAAATTTTTTAGGTTATCTTATCTATAGATACAAATCTGTACGAAAAGACGTACGCTCGGGCAACGGGGGGAAGGAATCGGTCGGCTTCGAGTCTGCTCCGAGTTGGTATGGCCTTCCCTTCTGCAAAGGTACTTGGATTGCGCTACGTTAGGTTAGGTTGAGCTAGATTATCTCAGTGACGGTAAGTATAGGTTAGATCAGGAGCTCTAGCCATCTCTCGGCCACACTGGGTGCATTGCTTCCCCGAACACGTAAGCCTGTATAGAACCGCGAGCCACGCGATAATTCATGGAACTTTATGCGCGCCTCGTGTAATGTGTTTCTTCTATTATCCCCTCCTTCGGTCTACCTTTTTATTTTTTATATCTATTTTCACTACCGCGAGAAACAGTTTGCCGCCGCTACTATACACGGGTCGGGCCGTATAGATATACCGCGAGATAATCTCATAGACGTCATGGGCGGCTGTAAGAAAAATGCTAACTAGTTTCATATATCATAGGTTTATGAATATTTTGTATCGCAGACGTAATAGTGTTACGAAGCTGCTCGAGTATTCTATTTTTTTTTAATGAACTATAATTTTTTTTTATCACTGATCGATAAAGTCATTTTATCTTAAGATTTCAGTAGCTGTGAGCTGAATTACCAGACGACATAATTTTCACCTTTAATTACGGACGCGTGTAATATTTCAATTAGTTGTCAATTTAGTTGTCGACACCTGACGGACGTGTGTATGGATGGGAGAGGGAGAGGCAGGATGGAGGGGGTAAATAATTAACAATAAATTATATGCGAGAGGTATCATTAAACCTGCTAATCGTGGCAAATTGACTGTTATGGTATTAAGCGACTTACGAACGTAATTGCGCGCGTCGTGCGAATAGGTTTTGACAAGTGGCGGGAAATTCGAATTATTTATTCAGCCAGACGATTAGTGGCGAGATATGAAAAATTGTTAGTACACATCTTTCATTCGAGTCAATCCGATATCTTTGCATTCCGATACTGAAAATTAGCGGTAGGGAGACTCTTGCGGTTTTGAGTAATTTATTGTAATTTATGCAGCGACTTTAACAGTGGGAATTAGTAGTTTGGGCTGCTGTAAAAAAAAGTCGTTAAAGACGAGGTATAATAAATTAATCATGGTCAATAAATTTACTGTCGGTCTTACTCGTTGGTTTGGTGAAATTCTGACAGATGGCGCCACGTGAAACTCTCAGGAATCGAAAGACGCTTCGGGCGGACGCCACTAGATGGCGATAGTTGTCCGACTTTATATCAGCGCATCCTGTCACATTTGTTATTTATTAAAAATACTTAATTTTAATGGCATATCATTATCTAACGTATCATTATCGTGATTAAGTAATTATACGAATGTTTAATTTTTGTTTTAAATTGTTTAGACATTTCCGAAAGACATTTACACACGAAACCGCACTCTTCACTTTACTCCCTGTAATCGGACGCACGTTGGTATATTTCACTCGCTGAAATTGATAACGTTCGTAATTTTGGAATCTTCATAAAAACGAGAGCTGTTTACAGCCTGATGTTTGATTTTGTACGATAACAGTAATCATGATGTATGGTTGGTATCACAGGACTGGCAAAATAAATTCCTTATCAGTTACCATTGAAAGACTGTGATCCGTACTGTTTCTAAATGTAACTTATCGATAGCTAATATCAACTATCGATATGAAATACATATTATTTATGTAGTATCCAAGAACGAGTCCCGTGACCTCGGAAAAGTAAGGTTATGTAGGTCACTGGATGCAACGTTGTAACAGTGTCGTCGTTTCGCACGATGACTGCATTTGTCAGTTGGTTAGAATAAACAATAGAGCTAATTCAATATTCAAACTAATTTATTTAATTAATCAATTCAACTAGAATCGACGGATTCTCTTATGAAATTTGAAATTGATTGAAAAATTTACCTAAAATTAAAAAATGTAATATCATATATTTATCAATGTCCATTCCGTCCACTAAGTTGACACGTGATCTGAGAATATATAAAACTATGCCGCTACATTTTCTCCCTCTTCCGCAATGGCCTGCGGGAGGACATAGAAGACAAGTGCAGGCGCACCGGTTCGACTGGAATCGAAGGAAGTGCAGGCGCGCACTCACGCACACGAGGACGCACGGTGGGACGAAAGGAAAGCCAAAGCCCAGCAGTCGGTGACGCTTTGATGTGGCCGCCGCGGCGCGCCGCGTCGTACCTTCACCACCCTGAATACCTTTTCTCGTCCTTACTCTCATAGCATCGGGGCCAACTTCATTCCGCAATGTACCTTATCTCGATAGGCGTATCCGGGGTGAATTTTTGTAAAATACGATAAAGGATTATAAAAAAAAAAAATTGAAAATTTCCATTGACAAAAAATACGTTTATAAATGATAAAATAAAAAATGAAAATTTTGAGAAATTTTTTTTTTTTTTCAAAAAAATTTTCCAAAATTTCTTCATTCCTTCTCATCGTCCCTATCGCGACACGTATGCGTGTCGCGCGAAGTAGAACGACGATGTTCGCTAAAGAAATTCCTGCGGGAATTTCTCACAACGGCAAATCCGTATAGGGTTGGTCCCCCCGACTGGGCCCCGGCTCGTCTATATACGTCGATCAAGCCGCGATCGGAAAGTGACGGAAGGCAAAATCCTCTTCCATACTTGCGGCGCGCGGAATGCTGGGCCGTAGTAAAAAGTTCCTCGCTGCTGTAGACTTCGCGTTACGTTCTCCTTCCCGCAGGATCTGGAAAGTGGGTATAGGCGGCTGAAGAGGTAAGGCCAGCACCTGTACCACATAGCCCTGCGTCCATCTGTCCGTTCGTATACCTTCGGCACGATGCTGAACCAACCAAGGCAAAAGTCCCAGGTTCTTGCAGCGCAATCAATCGAGCCGCCTCTGGCTTCTCTCTACCCGTCTTCTGCCTCTTTGCCTTCTTCTTCAAAGTCCTGGTACTCCTCTTTCGTCTTCCTCTAACATCCACTTTTACCACGTACCCCTGTACAGTCATCCTTTTCGTTTTCATCTCGGACACTGCTGGTGTATATATACATGTATACTTGCACTACAGCAATGTTATTTATCAACGAATCCTCCTCGCTCTTCACGATCACGTGTCTCAGCATTGTACTGGGATAAGAGACGGCAGATCGCGCAACCCCGAAGAACGTCCTTTCGATCCTGGATACTTGATTTTTCAATGCCGAAAATTTTTGGATGCTGGGTACAGGGAATTCAGATTTTTTTTTTCACTCTCTGAAGTCATCATTGGGTCAGAGATAGGTAAGTGCGGTTTTGCGTGTCACCTTTTTTTTTTTCTTTTTTCTTTTTTTGGGTTATAGCGAAGATTGTTAGCCTTCGTGTTTTTCTGATTCCTGTGTTTCACGGCTACGTGCTTTGCCGCGAATCGTCAGGGACGCGCGTGACTGGTTACGCAAACGTTGGTTTCGTAAAAAAAAAAAATAAACGGAGTAACCTTCGTGAATCTTTAGGACTGAACGAGATGATTGTTTCTTGGGAATTTTTACGTTTTTTGTTTACATCAGTGGGATTCTGGTTGGAACGATAATGAAATTTTTAAAAATTTTTATTTAATTGACACACTGTTTTTTTTACAGAAAATTCAAGGCGAAAATGCCCCGTTTATTAGCCCGTAGTAAAAGTGAAATGAATTGAGAAAAAAAGTACAGTGCAGTTGTAAAGTCGAAAAGGAGAAAATTCGTGAGGCTCAGGTAGAAAATCTGCATAGTTAAGAGACACAAATTCCTGTCTCGAAACGGGAAACAATGGGCAGATGACAGCTCAGACAAACGAATGGTGACACAGGCTGTCAGGCGAGGTTTAAACGTTACCGGTCACGCTTTCGATTTTCGCCATTTTTGCGAAAAAAGGTGGATTAGGTATTTTCACTTCGAGTATTTTTGGCCACTTCGAAAATTTCATCCGGTGCGTTAAAAGTGATTGAGAAAAAAATCTTAAAAGAAGATTAAAGATAAAGCAAAAAAAAAATGATCCAAGAATCCATAAAAAGTAAAAAAAAATAATTTCAAACAAAGACTGTTTTTTCGTAGAATTATATTTTATCTCGGTAGATAATCAGACTCAATAGATGAATCGAGGACGAGGGGGGCAGAGGAGACAAGGGGGCGCGATGGAAGAATGCGCGGACCACTATGCGCATTGTAACAACAACAGCACAACATAATTAACAGTAGCCACGGTGTATAGCAGCACAATGGCGGTTCCTCTTTGAGATAGGAACCCCCGCGAGCGTGCGTTAATTTATTATTTTTATAGCGAGCGGTATTCATTCCGATGGAAGGG